CCTAAAGCTGTTCCTATTTGTCAGATGCCTTACAGGACCAATCCACATTATTCAAGAGTAGTGCGAGAGGAGATGTTGCAAGTAGGATTTATTTTAGAGGTGGAAATTAGTGAGTGTCTTTCTCCTATTCTTGTGGTTAAGAAGAAGAATGGACAACTTAGGGTTTTTGTAGATTTATAAGCGACTAGTTTTTTCCATTCTACTTTAGTCACTTAACTGCACCTCCAACCACTTGGAGAAGTCTCATTCACAACCTCTATAAGTCCCTCTCAGGACTTGGGGCTTGCTAGCCCCGAGAATAGCATCTATACCACTTAACCTTTGCACTTGGTCCAAGTGCTCCACGTGTCTGATCCCATGACTGACACTCCAAGACACCACCAACATACCAGCCCGTTACGCTAAGCCATGCCCATTCACCTTGGTCACATCGGTGGTCCAACACCACCTATATTGCAATCCTGTCTCTCCAAGACTGAGCCATCCGTCCATGAGTGGTCATCCCATATCCACTCCTTAACATCCTTAGGATGCCCACAGACATGGGGAATAACCTTCCCCAATATCTCCTTTCTAGTCCCCACCAAGTCCCTCTTTGTCCTTGGCCGTGTTCGCCAACACTGCCACTGGATCAAGGCCCACAGGCCCGACCACCAAGTCCCACGGTCCTCTGGGACTTTCTCACCACACGACTGTATCCTTGGTCACTACACCAGAGGACTACTCCTCTTCCTTTCCACAGTCTGGGCCTTCGGGACAACGTTTCGGAACACCGTGGCCTTATGCAAGCCTCGTGGGTACTCTCCCTGCCTTCCACCTTTGGGTGCTCTAGCCATGGGCTTAGAGCGAGATTCCGTTGAGCCACACCTAGTATCCAAGTAAGTAGTGCCACCCACACTTGGATTGGGAGCATCGGCCAGTCGATCTCCCGGGGGAACTAAAGCCAGCTCTTGAACACTTCACCAAGCTACCCCGCTTGTCAATCCGTGTTCACTCTAGTCTTGGACTTCCCAGTGGGCAGTTCATCACCTAACACTGGGTACAACCTTCCTGGGCCAAACTGGCCTTTCCTAGCCAAACTAGCTCCACTGCAGTCCTCCCCCTTACTATACTTTTGGAGCTCACCAAACCCCCCAGGGTCTGGGAGACAAACGCTTTGGGCTTTCACCCTCTCAAACTCGAACTCGGACTCGGACTTGGACTCGGACTCAGACTCGGCCTCAACCTCGGCCTCGGCCTCAGTCTCAGTCCCGATCTCGGTCTCGGTCTCAATCTCGGTCTCGGTCCCGGTCTTGGTCTCGGTCCCGGTCTCGGTGTCGACCTCAGACTCCATCTTGGGTCCTTCTCGGACTCCATCTCGGATTCCATCTCGGGTCCATCTCGGACTCCATCTCGGACTCCATCTCAGACTCCGTCTCGGTCCATCTCAGACTCTATCTTGGGTCCATCTCGGACTCCATCTCGGTCTATCTCGGGCTCCATCTCGGACTCCAACTTGGGTCCATCTCGGACTCCATCTCGGAATCCATCTCGGACTCCATCTTGGATCCATCTCGGACTCCGTCTCTGTCCATCTCGGACTCCATCTCAAACTCCAACTCGGGTCCCTTTTTGGAACCTCGCTTATTGCTCGCTTCGTACTTGTTCCTCGAGCCCTTCACTAGGAGTTCCACTCCCGCTCTCAACCTTTCAAATCAGAGCTTTCGGTCCAAAGGTGTTACACTCATTTGGCTTTCACTTCGGCCACTACCACGTGGCACCATTCCGGCTCCACTTTGGGGCCTAGGGATTTTGTGTCTCACAAGATTACAGAAAGTTGAACAATGCAATAATTAAGGATGGTTTTTCATTGCCATTTACTGATACAATGTTGGATTTAGTGCCAGGGCATGAGCTCTATTCTTTTTTGGATGGCTTCAGTAGTTATAGTCAAGTGCGAATAACAAAGAAGGATCAACTGAAAACCACTTTTGTGACAGAGTTAGGGTGTTATGCATATAGAGTTATGCCTTTTGGCCTATGCAATGCTCTAGCAACATTTCAGAGAGTAGTGTTTTAGCCAAATAAGGATTTTATGGAGGTATTTCTGGATGATTTTAGCATATTTTACAACACTTGGAAAAGTTATGTTTTAACAGATATAGGCAATTTGGGATCTTGTTAAATCCATTTAAGTGCAGTTTTGGAGTGACACATGGGGTGTTGCTAGGTCGGATTGTTTCACATAATGGTTTAGTTATTGATCCTAGCAAGACTAGGTTGATACAAGCATTACCAGCTTTAGTGGATGTGAGGCAATTGCAAGGAATCTTGGGTCATATAGAATATCATTGCAGGTTTATGCATAGTTATGTAGAGAAAGCTTTGCTTCTAATAGAGTTGTTGTGCAAAGACGTCAAGTATAATTGGACAGACTGCCCACAACAAGCTTTTGAGGTGTTGAAGCAAGCTCTAGTCATAGCTCCAATTTTGAAGATGCTAGACTGGTCTCGAGATTTTCATGTCCATATGGATGCTTCAGCAGTGGCAATTGGCTCAAATTTGCAGATGGGATCATCTTCATAGCCAACAACTCCCAATAGCAGAGAAGAATTATTCAGCAACAGAGCATGAAGGAGTTGGTGATATTGACACATAGTGAAAATCATTCCACTGGGAAAGGAGTTTGTTTTTTATTTGGATCATTAGGCCTTGAAATATCTTATCTTAAAGCCGTGCAGGACAAAAAGGGTGATAAGGTGGCTTTTGATTTTACAAGAATTTCAGTTCAAGATTATGTTGAAGCCTAGACGAAGTCATAATATGTTTGATCATCTTCAAGATTGCCAACTTCTACTATGAATGGAATTACTAGAGTGGATGATGAGCTTCCAGATGCTCATCTTTTTTAGGTGGTTAGCAAGGAGCAAGTGGATGTAAAGGTTTTCTAGGTTGAAGCAATACTTAAGTGGTACCATGGAGTGGCAAGTATCCTCTAGATTTCTCTAGTAAAGAGAAGAAGCAGTTACTTCTTCAATCTCGGCACTTCACTTTGATTGCTGAGCAACTATACCATCTATTCATCAAGCTTTTTTTCAGCTCCAATCTCACTGCCATTGGCTATGATAGGCATATCTTGGACATGGGTACCAATTGCAACAATATTACATTGGGATGGAGTTAAAATCTTATTTAGATCTAGCTCCAAAAAAAACTAACAAGCACCTACTATTATTTTCTTATCCTTATTACACCCTCTCTCACTTTTATCAATGTCTTTACTCTCCTTATCTTTTAGAAGACTACTAGCTAGCAATACCTCATTTTGAGTACAGTTCAAAAATTGTATAGTTGCATAATTGGTTTGAAGCTAAAAACTCCTTTAAAAAGCTCTAAGAGATTATATAAAGAGTTATTAATTACTATTACTCTAGCCTCTTTAACTTTGTAGCATACATCGAAGACCTCTAAAGGATGGTATTTTTTATGCCTCCCCATCCCAATACACTACACAACAACTCTTGAGTTATATCCTTAGAATTTGTGTAGTATAAACCCAAATGCTTAGTTGTTCTGGAGGCATTGAGGGCATATTTAGTAGTCCCCTAGGTGACAATTTAGATTCTTGTAGGATAATTTGCTACACTATGTAGTACTAATTGTTTTTGGAAAATAATGCTTTATTTTATTTTTAAAAAATTATTTAATTTTTTAATAAAATAAAAAATTTACTAGAAATATTTTAATAAATATATAAAATTAAAATTAAAATAAATTAAAATTTTCATTTTAAATAAATAATAACTAATAAATCTTTAATATAAAGGAATGTGCTATATTATCCTGTATCTATAATATTCTTTAATGAAATGTAATGATCAAGTTTAATATAACCATGTCCAATATTTAACAAGTAGTGCCTTTATGGTTGAAGCTTTAGACTAAGCTCTAGTGGCCAGAAATATTGTATGGTTCCTTATTCTGATTTTTTATGTAGAAGTTGCACATGAGCAAGATACTGAAATGTAGAGGCAAAAGTTCAATTATAATTGTTGAGAAAGAGGAGTACAGGAAAGCCTAAGAATAACATGATTTATATTAGTGATAATTAAGAATAATTATATTAAAATTTAATTAGCAACGGAGTAGAGAAATTTTTAAAAGGAGAAAATCACAACAGTTCATTATTAGTGGGTCATGAATTTGTGAGACAATCCATTTGTCACGAATGCCTGTAAAACAAAGAACTGACTGGTGAAACATATGGGCTAGAGATCTTTGAGATAATAGATTCATACCCAGAGAAAGAAAAAGTTTGGGATTGGCTCCAAAGATCCAATGGTGGCGATCCCATTGGATAGCCAGGGTGACAGGTGGAAATACTCACCAGATACTACAAGATTGCACCCCATTGGGCACAAATGGACTGTAAACAAACCAGGTAGATAACCAGGTAGAAAAGCATGCTAAGGGTTCGGCAATGTTATTCTTTTTGGGTGGTCTTAGGCTTGCAAGTGATTTGTCGTTGACTTGCACATTGTAAACAAGGATGTGTAAACGTTTTGGTAGGACCAGCATGGACCAGCTAATGGAAAACGTGCAACTTATGGGACATACTGGTTACGTGCCCGGAATAAACCGGGCAACCATGGAATTAAAAATGTGAGATGTGATCTCTGTAGGATAAATACCTCTTCTCCTGCCCCTGTTTCATAACCCACAGAGGAGTGTAGAAAGCAAAAGCTGTTTTCAGGACCGATCAAACAGTTTTCATTTCCAAATGGCTGCAATCTTGTTGATGACCGTGTTGCTCATGATGGCTGGAAGATGGTGTGCATTGGCAAGAGAAAAGATAGAGCGAGATTTCTAGCGTCACTCCACCCCGTGAGAGATGCCCACAAGATCTTGTGGTATATGTACTGGGTGGAATTCCCCTTCCTCTCACAAAAGACGCTCGAGTTTGGCACCATTCATATCTTGGTTAGTTTGTGCCAACATGAATCTCCAGGTGTGCTCATAGCTCCTACACCGATCAAAGCCAGCTTGCGCGAGGTAAAGTTCGTTTTCGTTTTCTCTGCTTTGTGCTACTTGAGCTACTGCTGCAGGATATCTATGCGAAGGTCATGTAAGAGGCCAAGACTTTGGAACTCACTCGGAGGTGGAGTTTTTGTCATCCCCAAGAGCTGTGCAGACGTTTCCTGAGCCGACAGTCCATGAAATTCACTTTAGAAGGACATAGAAATCATTTAAACATATATTCAACTCTATCAAGTATTAAAATGTCTGTTCAGCAATTGATTTCATCCCTTGTTAATGTCCAGCTGGATAACAATAAGATCACAAACCTGAACACCGGGAGTGGCGTGCTCACTCTTTCGTAAGCGGCTCCTCACCACACTGTCCCGTTTCTCCCAAAAACCACGCACCACATTGAGCTGCTTGTCAAGCGTCCGGCAATCCACGCCGTCCAGAGGGGGCCCGCGTGCGTGGCACACACTCGTGCGTCGGATGGAGAGCAGGTACTGGTCGTTGGATCCAAAGGGCCCCGAGACAATCGCAACCGCTCAACGCAGACATTCATAATACCCAAGGGTTCCTTCCGCGAACCAAAATTAAGTTCTATTAGTTGTCTGATGTCGTTGTAGTATAGTGGTGAGTATTTCCGCCTGTCACGCGGACGACCTGGGTTCGATCCCCGGCAACGGCGAGATTACGAGCAAACATGCTTATAATTATAAACAATTGGATTAATAAGTAATAACAAAACCATAACAATTTATTTAAGGTATTTCTATGCATGCATTTGCTGAAAGGGACAACGTAATCCCCCATCGTAGTATGGTCCAATCTTGCCGGATTTCAGCACTCCCAGCTCCGCCAGCTTGTATCCCTTCTCAAATGCTGGTGGCCGATACACATTCACGTTGAGCTGCCGGTACTCTTCCGGATTGGCAGCGGGATTAGGACACCAGTCCACCTCAATGCTGCCCTTCGCATCCTCCACACGTCTGGGAGGCATAAATGCGGACACGCAGCTCCCGGCCAGCAGCTTGAACGCACCCAAGATGATCCACTCCACGATCACGGGGGGCTTTTCCAATCCAACAGCGCTCCTGATTGTGGGATCGATGAGCGCGCAGATCCCAGTCTCTACCAGCGGCTGCACGGGCTGAGGAAACGCGTCCAGCACCAGATGCTTGAGATCCTGGACGATGCTCTTGTTCTTGTCCGTGAAGATGGCGTTCTTGGCCTCGTACTCGCGAATGTACTCTCGCATCTCGGAAATGCTGTCTGGGATGTTTGTGATGCCCATCCTCACGCCCACGTCGTGCCACACAACATACGCGGCCTCCTTCTCGTTGTCGGTCCACTTGCGGAATCCAAACTTCTCGGAGAAATCAATGGGACTGATCACGTTGAGGCAGAGGACGTAGGCGAATTGGTCGTTTGGGATCTTGAATTTGTTGTGGATTCCATTCAATCTCCTCACCGCGTACGAGCCGCGATCGCTGTCGACGTGGTGGTGGATCATCTCGCTCACCAGAATGTTGGTCTCGGCAGCGCGCTTCTCGGGATCCTTGAGGCCGTACTTGGTCTTGAAGAGCAAATTTGTGATCCCGGGGATGCCCAGCGTGCGGATGGTGCCAAACTCGAGCGCCTTTTGTGAGAGGAAGGGGAATTCCACCGAGTACATATACCACAAGATCTTGTGGGCATCTCTCACGGGGTGGAGTGACGCTAGAAATCTCGCTCTCTCTTTTCTCTTGCCAATGCACACCATTTTCCATGCTGCAGCCATCACGAGCAACACGATCATCAACAAGATTGCAGCCATTCTGAAATGGTTGCGTTGTGAAAACTGTTTGATCTAAAATCTGTGCGTGCAAAAGAAAGAACTAGGTTGGTGAAACATGGGCAAGAGAAGGGGTATTTATACCACTGATCCAACAGAGATCACATTTCACGTTTTTTATTCATGTAGCACTAACGTGCACGCTGTTTGATCTGTGCATTCTTTCAGCCACTCACTTAAAATCAGTCAAAAAATCTAGTCCC